GACCTCAACCAAACATGCCAACATATCACATAACATCATTCAAACTTGTTCCGACCTTCGGAACGCTTGAAACAACATTAAAACACCAAATTTGCATCAAATTCAAGCCTAAGAATTCCAAAATCTTCTGAATTACATTTTTTATCAAAAACCCAACCAAACCACGTCCGAATGACCTAAAATTTTGCACACACGTCACAAATGACACAACGGAGCTACTGAAACTTTCTGAATTCCATTACAACCCTTATATCAAAATCTCACCTATCAACCGAAAAACGCCAAAATCTCAGTTTCGCCAATTCAAGCCTAAACCTTCCACGAACTTCCAAAATGCATTCTGATCATGCTCCTAAGTCCCAAATCATCTAACGGAGCTAACCAAATTATTAAATTTCGATCTGAGATCATATACCAACAAGTCAAATCTTGGTCAAATTTTTCAAATTTCAAGCTTTAAACTGAGAACTGTTCTTCCAAATTCATTTCGATTACCCTGAAAACCAAAACCAACGATCTACATAAGTCATAATCCATCACACGGGGCAAATCATGCCTGATAACTGGTGAGCAAAGTGTGAAAGCTCAAAACGACCGGTCGGGTCGTCACATCCTCCCTCACTTAAACATACGTTCGTCCTCAAACGTGCCCAGAGTTGTTCCAAAAGCCAACCAATCGCTGAATAACCTTACAACGCATATACCTGGGGGTGATCCCACGTCACCCTATTTCATATAGGTCCGATAACACAATGCAACTGAAATTTCACAATCCAACCTAGCCCATAAAGCTTAGAACCACATTTCCACTTCTGAAATCATCCACAAGATCAGAATCTCACATCTATACGCCGAATAAGCCCGAACAAGCTGTAATAATCCATACCTGCAACCTCAGGTGCAATTACATGATATACCACATAACTCAAACACTTGTAGCGATAACTTCTAATCACAACAGCTGCACACAACACCCGAATACCGATAGAAAACCTCTTATCAACTAAAGTTTCATTCCAACACTTCCATATACTGCCAATGATAAATGAAACACGCAGTAAACCATAACCATCCCTCGGATCAACCATTCATGAAGCCACTTCTCCTTTGACAAAGGCCATAGCAAATTTCTAAGCCGAACCTCGATGTTATCCTTCCAACATGCCGAAATAGAATCTGTTTGTATTCATCAAAGACCCCAACGATCTCATCTAATCCAACACAATTACTCTGGTGACATGACACATCAATAGAGGCTAAACCCGCAACTTGTGCAATCCGCGCACCAATAAGCAAAAATTCGAACATACTCAAATCATGAAAATGACTCAAATGAAAGAGTTGTACCCCAAGCTCACCTGTACCACCACACACGATGCTGAGAACCCGTCACACATCATAGAAACAGAACACATGAATCTAACCCGCAGGATCATACCTCCACATAGCTTCGCTCCAATACGCGACCTCATCCAAACACTAGTCCACATGAAACACCTCAAGTCACTATCCTCAAAATCGACAACCAAGCGCAATATGATGTCTAAAACCAAAGCAATCATCATAACCATCGCGAAGCAATTGACATAACATTACACATACCCGAAGGGACACAACCGTTATGCCACCTGCCGAGCAATACCAGTACTCTTCCCGCTCGACTTCCACTATGAAACCACAATAGAATCGCACAACATGTGCCTATAACCATCAAATCATAATGCCTCGCAACCCAGAAAAGTAACTCATAGATCACCTCAGAACACTAATAGCTTAATAACAATTGAATCAACACATCCCTCACCAATGGAAACGTGAAGTCAACCAAGTCGTCTCGATGCAGAACATACATCCTTATAGGTCTACCAATGAACCCTTATCAAGGAGATCCTAAAGTTGTTCCTTCAAATCCTTTAACCCGCCGATGCCATACGCTATGGTGCCTGGCACCAAATCGATACCAAACTCAACAACCCCGTTCGGCGCCATGCCCGGCCACAAGAAACACATCCAAAAAGTCCCTCACCACCGGAACTGAATTAATGGTAGGAGTTTCTACATTGACATCCATCATGAAGGCCCAAATAAGAAAGACAATTCCTTCCCAGCCATCCGCTGGGTCTTCAAAAATATAAAACCACCCTACTAAGAACATAATACGTCGAACCTCATCACTCAATTCGTGGCATTCCCGGCATAGCTAACAGCGCTGCCTTAGGGCAACACTCTAGAATAACACGACACGGAGACAACCTATCTGTACCCAATATTACATCATAATCTAACATACCAAGTAGCAAAAAATCCACTCGGGTCTCCAAATCCCAATAGTCATTATACAGTGCCGATACACACGACCCACAAACACAACATAACCTATTTTTGAGAACTTCCCGTCTCCAAATCCATATAGCACACGAATAACCATATCCAATCCCAATTCCGTCGTCCAAATACATACCACACCTCTAATACCCAGTCATTCCACAAGAGATACTCTAAAATTCTTTTGTGCCGCCAAGCAAACTCGAATATTAGCAGTCGATCTAATAAGAAAGTGCCGCAATACTATCGAAGTACCATCAACTTAATCACATTGCCTTTTTCTGAAACATATACCCTCGTCAAATTACCCCAATTAGCAATACCATTTCCTTAAGCATCTGAAGATCATTTTCCTAATCATCTGAAGCTCATTTCTCTAATTATCTGAAGTTGCCCGCTGCCTAAGAGTTTTATGACCTTACTTTCAGAACTGAACCATAACCTTACACACGCAATCTCAATCCTCCACAACATACCGCATATACCACACCATCCTAGGATAACATGAGAACTTCATATCCCTTCCGAGCCACAAGCAACTATGTACTCAACCAACCAAGACTTTCCATTGAGCCCATCTGGGAGAAAATCACTATACATCTCACGCTCCTCATGCCAGTAGAAAATATACACCCCCCAAACCACGGTAGAAATCATTAAGAACTCTCTGTCTCCCTTTTGCACAAAACCAAACCTGACATGACTGAATCCTTCTAACTCAACCAAGCTACGCATGCCACTAAAACCTAAGAGCATTGCCGCAAAACACCTGTAAGTACCCATTACCTTGTAAGCATCCAAAGAACAAATCATACCATTACCATATCGATTCAGCCTACTACCAAGTTATCCCATCCATCCGAGTTTCCTTCTGATTTACCTTTAACTTGATACTCCTTCTTGCTATAACACTACAATTCCTCAACCCAGACTCAGCACACGAGACCCAAGCATAAAACCACGCCGTCTAAGGTTCATAAGCCGCTGAATACTTCTTTAGATATTTCTAAAAGCACCACGTTCAAAATATTTACCCTGAAGAGACCTCCTACGAATCCCGAACCATTACCTTCACCTTCCTGATACTGATATATAGAAGCTCATAATTGATATAGGAATACCACAAATCTTGACACCCTCCAAATGCAAACCTCAGTTTCTAGCAAAAAATGCAACCTGAAAATCTCCAATTATTACATGCAAAATCTTGAGCACATTAGAACCATTCCCGAGAGTCATCCACTCTACTCAAACCGCAATTAGCTCAATCAAAAGAACCGAACAACCTGTGCCTCATTAGCACTTCTGACACTGCAGAATGTAACCTTACCTTAATGCAACCAAGTAACTTCATATTCTATGCACCGCACATCCTTTACCAATGACCACTCAAGATATTCCGTGATTCTCATACACCTATGAAGCATGACATGACCTTTATTGAAATTTCCTTTACTCGATCTATCCTCGGGCTCAATCTCCGTAAGCCATAACTAATTCACCAGCACGCCTCAAACTGGAACCAACATTACACATAACTGTGCAATCAACTCACCAATAGCAGACTCCCCGACTTGGCTCGAAGCCATAGATCAACACATACAATAACTCATAACACATATACTCTATTGCTGCCATAATACCATACTGAGATTAAACTCAATCCTTCATAAGCTCGTGGAACACAGACCATCTAGTACCTTAAATCTTCTACAAATCTCGCATTGTCTCTCGTAATAGTTAAACTCACTCTCTTAAGTGACCCAAATTTAAATTGCAACAAATATATTTCACTTGTAAATGAGATCTTCTAACAGACAACATAAGGATCGCACAAACTTCGAACACCTCGTAGGAGATAACCCACCTACTGCGCCTCAAACTGACATCTCTTTATACCCTTCCACTGTCATAGACAGTACGCAGTAACTTGATCTTCCTGAGTCTGAACTCATATCATAACGTGAAATTTACCTCAATTCCAACTAGGAAACATGAAAAGATTCTTCACACGCTCATAACTCGGGGCTATACCTCGAATCAAGATGGAAATCAAGCACCTAACAGTTCTTCTATCCTCCAACAAACCCTTCTCGTCGCTTCCAAATCATATGAATACATCTCACAGTCACATCACACTCATCACGTAACTAACCAGTCATTACTTCCCTTAATAGGGACACAACAGCACATGTAGATCCAGAAACACGCGCTCACGCAATCAACATCTCAGGGCTCAAACTATAGGTAATAATACGGCCTTAAGTCTTCCAGATTGGCCCAACATCAACACATAGAGATCACATCTCGCCGCTCGATCAGGGAATCACAAGCCATCGATGCACATCTGATATTGGGCGTTCATGCGCGCATACGAACGTGTGGAAGGAATTCAAAGAGTTACATTTCAAGCTGAATCAAGGACGCACGATAAGAATTCAAGAATGTGAAGTTTTTCCTAAAGGTTCTGCAGCCTCTCGAGGATAAATACAGACGTCTCCATACCGATCCGCGAGACTCAACTAAACCTGCTCACAACTCGTGAGACCTATGTAACCTAGGCTCTGATACCAACTTGTTACAACCTCAAACCGGACTCGGTCGTGATGGCGCCTCTCATGAAGACAAGGCCAGCTAATATAATTCCCAAATTCGTTTCAACAATTTTTAACAAGTCATTTTAAGCCTTCTTAATTAACCAGATATTGCATAAGGTAAGTTTTAAATGAATAGTGCGTAAATAGATATAGCCCAACATCGGGGTGTCACAAGTCACGAGCATCTACTAAGGTCTAAAATACAATGAAATTTTGGAAATATACTAAATATAGTCTAACGACATTGAGAGGGAGAAAAATAGTGTTGCGGACGTCGGGCAGCTACCTCGCTAAACTCCAATGACTCTGCCTCTCCTCAACCAATACCCGCTACCGGGTGTAGAAATACCTAAATCTGCACACAAGGTGCGGGGATTAAAGTGAGTACTCCAACTCAGTGAGTAAGAATCATAAATAAAGACTGAGCGATAAGAAATCACGAAAAGTACATCAATATGTTGTATAGAAGCAATACAAACCAGTAGGAAAAGCAATGAAGCTGTGAAATCTTAAAGCATCTTAGCTCAGTTTAAACTTCTTTAAAAATACCTTTTTAACAGTTAAGCAAATAAATGCAAAGCAACTAGAACAGATAAGCATAGAAAATGGGTACCCGCCCCTCAGGCTATATCTCACATTATATCTCACATTATAATGGGTTCTCGGGCACAAATACCAACAGAACAGCCCCTCGGGCAACAACATGGAACAACACCAGCCCCTCAGGCTATATCTCACATTATAATGGGTACCCGCACTCACTGGGGGTGTGCAGACTCCTGGAGGGGCCCCTAACGGCCCAAACGCAATATCAAGCCATCTCGTGGCATCATCACTAGGCTATCGGCCTCATATCAACAAGCCACCTCATGGCGTACAAATCTCAGGCCCTCTGCCTCATAATCACAATCAGTGTATCACTGCTGCGGCGTGCAGCCCGACCCAAAAGTATCCTCACAACACAGGTCATCGGCCTTACTCAGTCAAAATCACATAAGCCACTCGAGCAATAGTAAAACATGATGCTCAGCCCAAAATAATATTTGAAATATCATTTAATATATTAAAACAAAGTAAACATGACAAAATTATGAAAACAGTAGGATATAGCATGACTGACTACAAGTTTAAAGTCAAAACAGTGAAGAAATATCAGTAAAAATCCCATAAGGGTCCAATAGTTGGCACTAGGCCCAAATATGGCATTCCGCCCAAAACAAGATGATAGCAAATAGTTTTCAATCAAATACGCGGTAAAACAAATCATTCGGGATGGACTAGGTCACAAATCCCCACTCATGCTCATTATCTAGCGTGTTCGTCACCTCAATATAGCACAACGATGTGCAATCCGGGGTTTCATACCCTCAGGACAACATTTACAATCATTACTCACCTTGATCCGGTCTAAACTCTAGCCGCAATGCCTTTGCTCACACGAATCGACCTCCGAATGCTCCAAATCTAGCCACAATCAGTACATAATCATTAAAATATGCTAAGGGAGCAAAGCCCACTCGAAAATATCAAATTTACATCAAAAATCCCGAAATTGCTCAAACCCGGCCCCCGAGCCCACATCTCAGATTTCGATAAATTTACATCAATAGATTCCTTATCTCCCCACGAGTTCATACATATCAAAAGTACCAAAATCCAACCACAAACGACCCCTCAAATCCCAAATCCTAGGTCTCCAATTACAAGCCCTAGTTCTTCAATACTAGGCTTAAATTCCATGATTAATTAGGTAAAATTCACACAAGAATCGGGTATTGAGTTCAAAAATCTTACCTCCAGGTGTTATCTCTTGAATCCCTCTTCAAATCCTCTCAAAAAGCTCCAAAATCGCCAAAAAATGGTGAAAGTTAGCCCCAAAATTGCGAACAATGGCTATTTAAATATTCTGCCCATGCATCAAAAACCTTCTTCGCGAACGTGGTCAAAGCCTCGCATTGGCGAAGCACACAATCAAGTTGACCAATTCTTCCTTCATCGCAATCGCGACAACCACTACGCGAACACGAAAGCTTGACTTTCTAACTCACTACGAACGCGACACAACCTCCGCGAACGCGAAGAACAAACATCCTGGACCGAGCTGCTCACCTTCCTTTTATGTGAACGCGGCATGAACCTCGCGAACACGATGCACAAGACTCCAGCCCTTCGCGAACGCGAAGCCCTTATCGCGAACGCGAAGGCTAATTTAGCCTCACCAGCTAACCCTTCGCGAACGCGAGGACCTACTCGCGAATGCGAAGGTCAAATTTCCTGAAATCCTTCAGCAATTTTCTGCAACTTTTCAAAATATGAAATGGCCCGATTGACCATCTGAAACTCACCTGAGGCTCTCGGGACCTCAACCAAACATGCCAACATATCCCATAACATCATTCAAAATTGTTCCAGCCTTCGGAACGCTCGAAACAACATTAAAACACTAAATTTGCATCAAATTCAAGCCTAAAAATTCCAAAATCTTTTGAATTACGCTTTTGATAAAAAAAACTCAACCAAACCACGTCTGAATGACCTGAAAATTTGCACACACGTCACAAATGACACAACAGAGCTATTTCAACTTTCAGAATTCCATTCCAACCCCTATATCAAAATCTCACCTATCAACCGGAAAACGCCAAAATCTCAGTTTCGTCAATTCAAGCCTAAACCTTCCACGGACTTTCAAAATGTATTCTGATCATGCTCCTAAGTCCCAAATCATATAACAGAGGTAACCAAATCATAAAAATTCCGATCCGAAATCATATACCAACAAGTCAAATCTTGGTCAAGCTTTTCAAATTTCAAGCTTCAAACTGAGAATTGTTCTTCCAAATTCATTCTGATTACCCTGAAAACCAAAACCAACGATCTACATAAGTCATAATCCATCACACGGGGCAAGTCATGCGTGAGAACTGGCGAACAAAGTGCAAAAGCTCAAAACGACCGGTCGGGTCGTCACATTGGATCTCCGTGCCCGTTGTACTTTTCAAATTTTGGCATCTTGAAGCCAGCTGACAAGTGGACATGGGGAAACATACAGAGGTCAGAGTATGAGACACACTTCTGACCACTCAGACCTTGCATATTTTTCAGGCTTTGTTCCAGGCTTTTCATCTTCCGAGCCATCTCCTCTTGCTCGGGTTTTTTACAACCTTTTCTTGCTCCCCCGAGAGATCATATTGCGGAGGTTGAATGAAAGAGTACGGGGTCACATATGCTATTTCTAATTGAAGTTGCGGACGCTAAAAGGTGAACATTGGAGGCTCAACATACGGACGTGGTAAAGTTGGTTGTGTTATGGTGCAGACTGGTGCTGTAGAGAACAATATTGGAGGTGCCTGGGGGCGAACCACAGAAGGCATGCCAGGATCATTGAAAGACATTGGAGGGTGCCCACATGGGATGAGTGGGTTGGGCACAGGGGCATTGGTAACCTCACTTGACCTGGGGATCAACTCAGGGAACCAAGAGATTGCACTTGGTGGTTCCTTACCATTAGACGAGGCGTCCCACATTTCCAATATGCGGAGACGCAACATCTTATTCTCTTCAGCAACTGCTGATTCTAGCTGCCGAATAGCCGGTGTCGGGCTATCCTCAGGACCAATGATTGGTAGATTGCTTGCGGAGGCCATATATGCCTTTGGATCTTGTGAAGGACGGGAGGCTAGACTACCAACAAAACCAACCACCAAAACCTGGCTAGTTTGCACACCCAACAACCTTGTTAGTTCTGAGACGCTTAACAGATAGGAAATCGCATGTTTGGATGCAATGCACCTAAAGAGTTAAATGTTTCTACCATGTGTTTGAATGGTTGCATGTTTCATCCGGCCTTAGTTAACCCTTTCAGTATGTACCCCTTTTCTTTTATTTCTACCTCTTTTAATCACTCTTGATTTTTTTTCCATTTCGTTTTTGTCGGTCTTTTATTTTTTCTCTTTTCTTCTTTTTTTTTGTTTTGTCGCTCTTATATTTTTGTCACTCTCTTTTTTTTCACTCAATTTTTCTTTCTCTTTTTTTCAGTTTATTTTTCACTTAGTTAATTTTATGGCTATGATCAGATCCGATGGGATTGCCTACGTATCATGACGCCGCATGAATTAGATCCTGCGTAGTTTGGGAAGATCGAAAATGGAGTAAATAAACTAACTTTTTTTTGTTGAAATTTTTGAAAGAAATGCTTTAAAAGAAGAAATGAAATATTTTTTTTATTTTTTGATTTTTGTTTTGTTTTTGAAAGAAAGACTTCTAAAAATTCATTTGCCTCTAATTTAAATTGAAAATTTTAAAAGTAAAAAGAAAATAATTTTTGTTTGAATTTTCATCTGTTTTCTCTTATTCTAAAGAAAAAGAAAATATTTTTGGATTTTAGATGTTCCCTCTTAATTTTCGAAAGAGGGACTTTTTAAGAAAATATTTTGGATTTATGAGTTTTTACTTATTTACAAAAGCACTTCTAAAGAAAAGTGAAAATATTTTTTAACTTCAATTTTTCAAATTTTTTCTTTTGAAAGAAACACTTTTAAACAAGGAAAAGATTTTTTTCTTAATTCAATTTTTTTTGAATTTTTTAGAAAGATACTTCAAAATAAAGGAAACTCATATTTTGGATTTTTATTTTTTATTTTTTTATTTTTTTCATATGAAAGACTTCAGAAAGAAGGAAACTATTTTTTGAGTTTAAAATATTATTTTTTTGAATTTTCTAAGGAAATGCTTCTAAGGATGGAATTAAAGGAAATTGTTTTTAGATTTGTTTTTTTTAAAAAAATGGGGCCGGAACCGATGAGGTTTGCCTACGTATCTCACATCCGGTGAGAATCAAACCCGCGTAGTTCAGTCAGTTTTGACGTAACAAAAAACGTGAAGTATTTTGAAACCATTTTCTCTTCCCTTTTTTCTCCTCTCCTTTTTTTTCAAAATTTCGGCAGAGTTTCGGTATAACAGGTTTTTCAAAAGCGGGTAATTATCTCTCTCATACCTCAATTTTATTTTTTCCAATTTCCTCCTTATTCTAGCAACCGGTCAACATGCAAACCGAAGCAAATAAATGTACAAGTAGCATGAAAAATATGCATCAGGATGGTCATTTGATTCTGGGGTCCACCTGTCCTAGACGGACTCAACCCTGTGTTGAGTCCCCAAAGTCAAATGCATATGATGCAAACAAATGTTCCTACTAGAGATCTGACATGAGGCTGAGTTATTCTTGGTTTTAAAACCTGGGTATATTGTTCTAGACTTGGTGCACCCGAGCGGACAACTCGAGCCAATGAGGGGCTACGTACCGGGAACCAAAAGGTCACCCGACTTTGTAACTTGTTCGAGCCTCTTTCTAATTTAAGGTATGACACTAACAGAAAGAGGAGTCATACCAACGTGCATATCCTCGAAAATGAGAAGAGAAGGGTTTCGTAATAGTTTATATACAATTCAAATAATATCAAAGCGGTAAAAAGCGGCATTTAGCACATTAGGCTCAAACATGTAAAAATCAAATAATAAATAAAGCCAAGTATAACAATTATTCTAAGCTCGAATTCTTGAACCATGAACCAAAAGTTCTGGGTTATGGTTCCCCAGAAGAGTCGGCAGAGCTGTCACACCTCTTTTTTACCACCCGAGGGTATATAGGAGTTTTTCCAATTAAAGTGACATAAATCAAAATGGGATTAATTAATTTATCAGAGTCGCCACTTGGAATAGTTTATTTGGTATCTCAAGTCACCGGTTTATTTTAAAATCCCAAATCGAGAAAATTTCGACTTTATTTAAAAGTCTGGGAAACCAGAAATTCTAGATAATGCATTCTGTTAACCCGGGAGAAGGCGTTAGACATTTTCGGATTTCGTGGTTCTAGCACGGTCGCTAAAATTATTAATAATTGGCCTATTATCTGATTAATTACAAGTTTTAAAGCTATTGTGCATTTTTAACGTTATAACTGCTTTTGATTATTTTTATGGAATTATTCTGTAACAAGTTATGATCGTCGTACACTTGTTTGTTTGATACACATCGTGAATTATGTCATGGGAATCGTACCCACGATCTACAACATGTTTAATTTATTAAAGTTATTAGAAGTTGTGGTCGGGTCACATAAATGTACCCCCGGACTTGGAAATTAGGTATCACAACTACGTCACGGGAACTGTACCCGTATGATGATTTTATTATAAACGCGCCTAAAGCAAGCTACGAATATTTTAAAAAAAATTGATACTAAGTTATAATACTAATATGAGGGCCATAGATTTAAGTGATTCGATTGTGAATGGTACACCTCGATTTATTTTAAAGGATTTGCATTTCACTAAAGTAAACTAAGAATGCTCCTATTTAAATCTAATTTGAAATTAGGTATTACAATTATGCCACGGGAATCGTACCCGTAGTTGTAATGATTTAATTGCGTGCCTAAAGCAAACTATGGTGTTCATAATTATTTCTAAAACTAATTTGAGAATATTACAAGGTCATATGAATTAGGGAGAACCATTATGGATAGAAGACGAACTACTCTTTCACCTCCTGGTCTGATTAACATATTTCCAAACGTCTAGTTAAGTCTATTTACTACCTTTTACTAATGTTATAGAGACGTAGATTATAGCACAACATGGGAAAACAAGCAATTATTCACTTTTAATTGATCCCATGAGTCCTTTAGCAAACGCCTAAGATTAAAAACTAAAAAAAAAAACTAAAATTATGAACAACTAAGAGAAAATAACGAAATAACGAAATTTCAAAGTTAACAATTTCCTACATATTTTCCAAAGTATCAATCTTTTTTATAAAGTAAGGTTCTAAAGTGACAATTTTTAAAGAGCTTAATTTCGAAGATTTCTCAGTATATCATTCTATAGTCCTTATAGAGTAAGATTATAAGCATCAGCATTAAAAATTTACCAGTCTTATCCAGAAAAGAATTATGTAAAAAAATTAATTAGAGAGTTCAAGTGAGAGCAGTAAATCACCTTGGCAGAACCCATATCATTTCTCTTTGCAGCTTCTTTAATTGCTTTCGGCACATTCTTCTCCTCTCTTTGTATATCTCGGATTTGACGTTCAATATTTCGACATTCTTGTCGGAGCCTACGTTGCCAATCCCTTAAAAGCTGTTGAGGGTTCGGTTTTGGCTGAGCTTTGGCTGATGAAACAAACTTTGGTAAAATCCTCAAAGCAAGCAATATGTCACTATTTGAGCAAAGAAGATGTGCATACACCGGATAAACTGAAGATAGCAGCAACTGAAACCAAATAAATGCTTTTATATATGAAAATTTCTGGATTACAAAGCTGGAATTTCGACGAGAAAACTCGACCAAGCTAAACCAGCAATAAGGGACTCGTCGGCAACCTCAACTGCGTAGGAGCTCAGCAAAACGCAACTTCAATTTCTATTTGCCTATAGATGAACTGGAATGAACCAAAGCGAGGCTAAGAAATCAAAATTTCCAGTTCGAGACAGCAACAATCAACAGCGAACAACCATAGATTCGGCCTTCAACAACCTTTTACGGATCCAGGAAGAGGAATCTCCTTCGAAATCCTTTTCAGATCTTCATTTTTTTTAATTTTTTTTTTGCTTTTGTTTCGCCTATATGAAGAAACCTTCAGATGTGAGATGCGTGATTTTTGTGAAGGGAGATAAAAAATCAGAGAGGAGGGTGGTCTGGTTGGAAATTTTTGGTGTGAGGTTTTGGAGAAAAATGGAGGAAGGGGAAGGGAGCTCTTCTGATCCAAACACGCGCCGTTTTTTCTAACCTAGGGGGGGTCTCGTCTTGTGATGTGATTAGGTCTAGGGTAGGGGTTTGGGGTCAGGCGGGTCGGGTCTAATTTTTTGGGCTGAGTAGGAAAATTTGGGCCTGATTTGGGTACAAGAATTAGCCCAATATCCAATTAAACTTTTTTAATTTCTTTTTTTCTTATTTCTTTTTCTTTTTAATCTTTTTTTTAATTAAGAAAAAAAAACTAAATCAAATTCCTAAATTAGTCTAAATTATAAAATTAAGCTAATTATCTAATTATAATATATTTAACAATTACTTGATCCTCAATTAAAAGAGAGAAATTACTAATCTAAAGATTAAACAGTAAAATGTAAAAATGAGTCATTTTTGTGATTTTTATTTTTAATAAAGCAATTAATTAACTAATTAACCCTAAAAATATAAAACAAAAATCTAAATGCAATGCATGGTGCTTTTGACATTTTTTATGATTTTTAATAAAAATTAAACGTGCACAAAAATGCAAACAATTAATAAAATCCTACAAAAATTATATAAAATATCAAATAATCGGAAAAATCTATTTTCTTTAATTTTATAGGAGTATTTCATATAGGGCAAAATTATGTGCTCACACACATATGCCCATAACAATAACTCTATTCATAATAGTTGCCCATAATCAAATATAGCACCGACGAATAACCTCATCTCAACTAAAACCTCGTTTAGACCTTCATAACGCTGACAACGATGCAAGAAACATAAGGATCTCATAACCATTCACCCGAATCGACAAGTCACATCTAATGCCACCTGGGCACACACCTTGCAAGCTAAAACCCAATAAACACTGCATGAATATGACAAAATATACAAGAAAACACATGAGAGAACTATCAAACAAGCCCGACAGGCACAACTCCCTATCAGTACCATACTTACGAATCAATTCCTTAAGGGATGATCAAAACATATGAATTAATCACAAAGATCTCACCCTAATATAACTTCACTGCGGCACGCAGCCTGATTCAAACATATCATACCACTTGAAAATGCGAGGACCCCATCCTCACCTTTGAATTACAAGTAGTATACACATCATACCAACTGAAACCTTCCACTAATTCAATTCCGCTAACAAAGTCACAACATATAAGCAGAGTACAAATTCATGAAACTCACCCATATATGAAGCAAGATAAGAGGAATCACCCTGATAAGCATAACCAAATCAAAATAAGAATGATGCTCCTTTACAACAATCTAAATCATACCTGTAGCAACGTAATATGGTGTAGCAACCTTAGCCCTACCATAGAAAGCATATCAACCGGCCGAGCATCCCCTTCTTGGGCGCCCTCTACTCATTTGACCTACACCTTTAGCTGGCGGTGCAGGGATAGCAGCAACAAGAGCAGAACTCATAGCTTGAATACCCTGCTATGACACATTTGTCTGGATTCTGGGACAATCTCTTACCATGTGGCTGGTATTTCCACACTCAAAGCAACCCCTTTGCTAGCGTGGCTGTGGAAGTTGTCTGGTGCAGGTACTATGAGACCCATGGGTATCTGAAACAACGTGCAAAGCCTAAAGTGAAAATTGAACTGGCTGACCCACAAACCTATACCATATTGTACCTTGCCTCCGAAATAAGGACCAATAGTTTCTCCCGGTCTACGAGGCCTCTTAGCCTCCTGACCTGTCATGACCCAAAAAAGGTCGTCACTTGTTTCAAAATGAAATTTTATGTTTTAAGGCCTTAAAACCTCTTTTAGCATCACCTTGATTTGCGTGCGTAGTCTGGACGCATAGCCGAAAAGCCTATATGTGAAAATCTGTGAAAATAATAAATTTTGACTATAAAATGAATTAATTTGACTTCGGTCAATGTTTTAGGTAGACGGATTCGGACCCATGATTGGACGGTCTCGGAGGGTCCGTAGGAAAATTGGGACTTGGGCGTATGCCCAGAATCAAATTCCGAGGTCCCAAACCCGAGAAATGAATTTTTGAAGAAAATTATTTTCTGAAATTGTTTAAAGGATTTGGAAATGAATTTTGATTAGAACATGTTGGTATTGGACTCGTATTTCGGTTCCGGCGCCCGGTACAGGTCTTATATGTGATTTAAGATAATTCTATGAAGTTTGGTAAGAAACGGAATCCGTTTGACGTGATTCGGACCTTAAATGGAAAATTTGATGTTTAAAGAAGTTTTGAGAAATTTCATTGATCTTGAGGTTTAATTCGATGTTCATGATGTTATTTTGGTGATTTTATTACACGAATAAGTCCGTAGGATATTTTTTAGGTTGTTTGTATATTTGGGTTGGAGCCTCGAGGGCTCGGGTGAGTTTTGGATAGGCCACGGGGTGCACTTTGAACTTAGAAAAATTACAGGTTTTTCAGCTGTACATAGCACTGGCTTGCAAATGCGATGTCGCAAATGCGAGCGGCTTGTCGCAATTGTAAAAGAAGCCCAGGCCAGCTCCCTCTCGCAAATGCGAGGTTATCCTCGCAAATGCGAAGTTTCCCATTTGGCCAGTGCTCGCAAATGCGATGCGGTAGTCACAATTCCCAAGTCGCAAATGCGACATTATTTTCGCAAATGGAAAGTCCAGCAATTATGAAGGGTTCGCAAATGCAAGCCCTGTTTCGCATTTCCCAGTCTAGCAGAGGTCGGGGTTCGCAATTGCGAACCCCTGTTCGCATTTCCCATACCTGCGACCTTCAACTTTATACTTAGATGATTTTAAACCCATTTTTCATATCCTCCCAAAACATAAACACCCTAGGACAATTTTTCAAAGACTTCTTCTTCTCCAAATCAATTGTAAGTCGTTTTTAACTAGTTTTCTTTAATCATTAACATCTTTTAACACGATTTCAACTTAAAATCAATGATTTTCATGGGGGAGATTGGGTGTTTTGGGTAGAACCTAAGTTTTTCAAAATTAGGGATTTGGACCTCGATTTGAGGTCCAATTTCAAAACAAATTATATATTTGGGTTCGTGGGGGAATGGATAATCCGGATTCGGTTCGAACCTCGGGTTTTGACCATGTGGGCCCGGGGGTGCTTTTTGAATTTTTGGGTAAAACTTTAGAAAACTCATTTTCATGCATTGGGGTTGATTCATTTAGCATTTATTGATGTAATTAAGTAACTTGTGACTAGATATTAGGGGTGGGCATTCGGTTGGTTCGGTTCGGTTTGAAGAAATTCGGTTCGGTTATTCGGTTTTCGATTTTGTAAAAGTAGTAACCGAAACCGAACTGAAATAAGTTCGGTTCAGTTCGGTTATTCTAATTTCGGTTCGGTTTTCAGTTTGAACATTATCATATTGGACTCCTTCTATGTAATAATACGACTGGCGAATTTGTTGATTTTTCCCAAAACTTCAAAATTGTTGGAAATATTGTGTTTATAGAAAAAAAATAGACTAAACTTTGCACACTTTATGGATCATAAAATTCAAACATAGTGTAAATTACAACTCTGTGTGAAATTCTCTCGGTATCTATCACATATGCTATGGAAGTTTTAATAGACTGAAAGTCGTTAAGATTGAAAAGTTGATGGACTTACTTAATTGGGTTAAGTCTTTGATAGATTGGACCTAATAGTATTAATTTATTACCTATGGGCTTAGCCTATATATAACTTAAAGAACATATATGTTAATAATTCGGTTTTTCGGTTAACTGAACTAAAAAACTTAATAACTGAAAAACTGAAAATTTAAAATTTTAAACCGAAACCGACCGAACAAATCGAATAACCGAAACCGAAAAAAAAAATCGGTTCGGTCGGTTTATTCGGTTCCGACCGAAATATGCCCACCCCTACTAGATACGAGCGAATTGGTGGTGGAATCAAGGGGTAAAGCTATAATTGAATCATGAATTATTTCTGTGGCATCGAGGTAAGTGTTTGGTCTAACCTTAGCTTGAGGGATTATGAGTTGTGTCTTATTTTCTACATGTTAATTATGAGGTATGACGTATAGACATGGTGACAAGTATCTATGTGTTGGTGTCAAGCATGCCCGTGAGTCTTGTATTATAATTGTTATGACTCCATTGTGGTTTATTGCGCTTCATATGTTATTATCACCATTGTTCCCTTGCCGGGATGTTTGTTTGATATTAATGATCCCTTGTCGAGATGATTGTTTTGATAGTATTGTTCCCTTGCCGGGATGTTTGTTTGATATTATTGTTCCCTTGCCGGGATGTCGTTGAAATATCATTGTTTTCTTGCCGGGAAGTTGTTATATTGCTCTTGTTCCCTTGTCGGGATTCCTTGTGATTATTGTTGGCTTTTAAATGGGAGCGGGTGGTACGCCTACCACAAGATTAATAAAATAGGAGCAGGTAGTACGTCTACCACAAGATATAGTGAAATGGGAGCGGGTGGTACACCTACCACAAGATATAATGAAATGGGAGCGGGTGGTACGCCTACCACAAGATATAATGAAATGGGAATGGGTGGTACGCCTACCACAAGATAAATTAAAAGGGAGCGGGTGGTATACCTACCACAAGATAAATGAAATGGGAGCGGGTGGTACGTTTACCACGAGATAAGTGAAATGGGAGCAGGTGGCACGCCTGCCACGAGATACATGAAATGGGAGCGGGTGGCACGCTTGCCACAAGATATGAGAAATGGGATCGGGTTGCACTCCTTCAACAAGATGTGAAATAAAAGTGAAATCTGCCTTTGTTTTCCTTATCCTTGTTAGTAGTTGGACTTTGGTTCCCTATAATTCTCTTGACATTCTGTTTTTACCTGTTATTCCCCAAAGCATGTTTCCCCCTCCAATCTTTAATTGGTTATTTTGTTTTACTTTCCGTTGTATATTATATATAACTGCACATGTTTGTTTGGTAGTCTGGTCCTAGTGTCGTCACTACTTCGCCAAGGTTAGGCTAGACATTTACCAGCACATGGGGTCGATTGTGCTGATACTACACACTGCACTATGTGCAGATCCTAGAGCAGCTCTT